GACAAGTGGCCGTCCTAATGACAACAACAATAATAAACAACAAACAATAAACAACTAATGATCAAACAAGCAAATGAACAACAATGATGATAATCTCAAGGTGTTTGGAGGATATTTTGGTTTAAATAAATTTTTTTGATTTTAATTTGACAAATTTGTGGCCATGTGTGATTGAACATGCACATAATGGTTCATAAATAGCAAATTTTATTTTCATCAAAATGCCAAAATATCCTAAATCCCTATACATTACCACACCCAGCTCACATTAGCTATGCCCACTAACCTGGTACCATCGTTGGTACCTCTTCAACTGGTCTACCGGATTGAACCCGTTACACTCAATGAGGCTCTCAGCTAGACACAGGCACATACTGGTGTCATCGGTCCACTGTCCTGGTGACAGGTTGTACCGCCCACCACCCGTCATACCGGTGACCGGGGGAAAGGACCCGGGAGGCATGAATTCAACCGGTGTACCAATAGCATCACCCACAGCTAGACCGACCAGACAACCGAGGACTCTACTCTGGGTGGAGAGTGGGACATTGGTGGCCGCCATCTTTAGCTTTATTTATTTAGACCACGCCTGCATAGGTACACCCACTCATAATTACAGGCGTGGCTATAAAAGGTGTGGTTTGCCTATTCATGATCAGATTGATAGCTGTCAGTGTCAAAAGGAGATCATAATGGCTACTAACAGTTCTACCTCCTTACAGAGACTTGCTGGAGAGCTGAAGAGCCTTCACCAGGAGCCGGTGGAGGGGTTCCTAGTCACCCTACCCGCCGAAGAAGACCTTTATACCTGGCACGTAGCTATATTCGGGCCTCCGGACACTCCGTATCAAGGAGGATACTTTAAGGTATGAGTATTGTTTGTTGTTGTTGTTTATTTTTGTTGTTTTTAGGCTGAAATGAGGTTCCCACAAGAGTATCCTTATTCTCCGCCTCGACTCAAGTTTTTAACTCCTTTGCTCCATCCTAATGTCTACTCTGTAAGATTCCATCAGTGTTAACGTAGATTGGGATATTTTTGATGTTATGAATGATTTTGCTTTAATTGCTAATGGGGAAATGTTAAAACGTGAAATATTTTCAAAACATAGAAATATGTACTTAGATATTAGAACAACAAAAATAAAACAACATGAAATTTTTCGTACCAATTACGGTATTCGTATCTTAAAAATTTTTTCCAATCTACAGTATTATAATTTATTAAGTATTATTATTGTATTATTATTTATTTTTAATCATTAGGATGGTGAGTTGTGTGTGTCTATTCTGCATTCGCCAGGCGAGGACATGTTGAGTGGTGAGTTACCTCAGGAAAGATGGAACCCGACACAAAGTGTGAGGTATGGATACCTGCTGTTAGAGAGGTGAGGGGTGTGGTCTGTGGTTACTATGGTAACGTGTCCCTAGGTGTATGAAGAGGTCGGTCTTGATATAAAAGACGTCATAAAACCCGACCAGTACCTACAGGTGAAACACAAGGACATGGACTCCAGAATGTACATCATTACTAATGTATCTGAAGATACTGCCTTCCAACCTGTGGCCAGGAAGGAAATAAGAGTATGTTACTATAAATAGATTAATGATAGTCTATAAATAGATTAGTAATAGATTAATGATAGCATGTTACTATAAATAGATTAATGATATATATATATATATATAAATAGATTAGTAATATTTATGAATAGATATGTCACTATAAATAGATTAATGATATCTATAAATAGATTAATGATAGCATGTTACTATAAATAGAACTGATGCTATTATTAGTAACAATATTCTTTGTTTCTAGAGGATCCAATGGTTTAACTTGAAAGAACTTCCATCGCATAAAAATGATGAAACGTCTAAAAATCATTTAAAACTAAGCGCCAACAAATTCTATGTGGTAATACCATATATAGGGTAAGTAATATCAGTGTTGTTGTTATTGTTGTTGTAGTTATTATTATTATTATTATTATTATTATTATTTTTATTATTTTTATTATTATTTATTATTATATTATTA